ATGGAGATGGAAATAGAGATGGAGATGGAAATAAAGAGATTCAAGTAATAGGGATGACTGAGATAATCGAGATAATGGACATAAATAGTCGAGACAATAGAGATAATTGAGGCGATACATGCAACAAATAAAATAAGCATAGCAAGAGATAGCAGGGATAATACAGGCGAGACAATAAAGACAATAGATATAGAAACAGAAACAGACAGAGAGAGAGGGAGAGAGATAGGGCTTGCGCACCCCGCAGACCCATTGGAAGAAGAAAGATCGAGTTTCAACTGGAGACACAGATGTAGATACAGATATTGATATTGATACACACTAAAAGAATCATATACGTAATTATACGTACATATATATGTCTAGTTATGTTATATGTATGCATGTCGGAAAATGGGTCTGTCAAGAAACAGCCAGCAGTTATTGTCCGGAGGCCTTTCGGCAGACGTTGGAGGCGCGCGAGACGACGTGTTGCTGTCCCTGTTGCATTCACATCAGGATGTTGTTTCTGCGTGCGCTTCCGTGAGCAGCGCCTTATACTGTATGAAGTGAGAGTAAAGGAACATGTGGTTACTGTGTGTGGTTAGGGTACTATGGTGAAGGTGTTACAACGCGGAAGTAAATCTGACGGGAATCCTACGAAACATAAACATAGCCGGCCCACTCCGGCGTGGGCTCGTCGCGTGCGGTCTTTCAAGTCCTCTACAGCTTTGGGGTTCAGATGCTAACTTGGGTCTGCGAGCACCGAACAATGAACATGAACCAAGTCATCCTGAAGCTTGGAAGGAGCTGATGCAGCTGTGGCCCCAATTCGTGGAGGACTTGCACTGTGTAGATTCCGTCTTTCCGTTGCATCACGATTTCGCACGAGTCATTGAAGGACACTGCGCTTGTGGGAACGCGATGAGCCCGCCAAAAATGTCCGGCCGACGCAAGACATCGTTTAAGAACGAAACAGCTCTCCATGGCGCATGAAGCACGTTCGCGGAATCGTGAAGTGCGACGGGCAAACGGAGGGCTGAGGATGCGAGATTGGGCGGAGCGTTCTTATGCACGGTTGCTTACCAGACTACTTCGAGCTTAAAGCCTGTTTCGAGTTCTTCGCTCAAGTTCGCTATGGTTGTCTTTCCGGGTGCTTGATTTCGTGAGAACTGTCGATTCCGACGACACCGTTTGCGTTTTGACGGCCGGTTTCTGCAATGTGCCCCATGCAGCATTGGTGAACGGCCCACCCTGATCATAATCAGCAGCCGCATGGGCGTTATCATCGTGGGCGCATGTGATCAAGACAACACCAGGTTTCATTTTAACCGCGACATGGCCGTCCGGCTTCAGGCTTATCCAGCAGCACGGTGTAAGTCGCATCATCGGGATCGTCGCCATCACGACAAAACCACGACCATGTACGACCATTAACTTGCAGCAGCATCACCGTTTTTCCAGTGCCTTCGCTGTTATTCACATCCCCTTCATGAGCTTCAGTACCACAGCGACCATGAACATCAAAATCATCATCGCTCCACCGATTTTGGGGAGCATCCTCACCTCAATCGTTATGTGTACCAACACTTTCGGGCTGCATCCCCATCGCCACCTACACCGTCGCGACCAGCTTCAGAGGCATCACTAGCGATTGACACTATTATGCCACCGTCGCAATCGTCATCATCACGATGCACAGCATCGACATCACAAAAAATCACTTACATCACATGTATCAGGATTACCTCCTCCGTCCCCGGTGCCGCTCGCATGTGTGCCACTATGCGTATCAGAACCATCATCTTCAGGATCTTCAGGCTCACCAGCGTTTGGCCACCCGAGTCGCATCATAATGTGCCACGTCATCATCGTGCTCATCAGCAGCATCAGCAGCAACACCGCCGATTCCGCTGTCGTTCTCATCCCATTCATAGTCTTCGATACCACAGCGACTGTGAAGACCAAGATCATCATCGTCCCACCGGTGTGCAGAATCCTCACCGCAGTCATAATGTGCATCATAACTTTCGGCTTCATGTTTATTGTCACCCACACTGTGACAACCAACATTGTCAGCAGCATCAACAGACATTGACATCATCGCGACGCACAGCATCATCATTACCAAAAATCACCAACATCACAGTATCAGGGTCACTTCCTTCGTCACCGGTGCCGCTCGCACGCTTGCCATCCTGTGCATGATAACCATCAGCTTCAGGCGCATCAATCTTTGGCTAATGACTCCCACTGCATCATCTTAAAAGCCGCATCATCATCGTGCCCATCAGCAGCAAAACCCGCCGATGCCAGTCCGGGTCCCTTCATGGTCGTTTTCATCCCCCTCATGATCTTCAGTACCACGGCGACCATGGGTATCAAGAAGACCATCATCGCCCCACCGGTGTGGGCAGCATCCTCACGTCACCATGTGCACTGTTACTTTCGGCTTCAGCCCCATCGACACCCGCACCGTGACGACCAGCATTGTCAGCATCACCAGCCATTGACATCATTACGGCGCACAGCATCATCATCACCAAAAATCGTCACCGGTGCCGCTTCCCCGTTTGCCATGATATGCATCAATCAGTATTTTCGGCTGCATCATCGTCACCCACACCGTCACGACCAGCATTTTCAGTAGCATCAGGAGCCATTGACATCAGCATGCCACGACAATCAGCAATCGTCATCTCGACGCTCGACGCAGAGCATCATCAGTACCAAAAATCACCAACATCACACGTATCAGGGTCACCTCCTTGGTCACCGGTGCCGCTCGCACGATTGCCATCCTGTGCATGATAAACATCAGCTTCAGGCGCATCAATGTTTCGCTCGTGACTCCCACTGCATCATCACAAGCCGCATCATCATCGTGCCCATCAACAGCAAAACCCGCCGATGCCAGTCCGGGTCCCTTCATGGTCGTTTTCATCCCCCTCATGATCTTCAGTACCACAGCGACCATGGGTATCAAGAAGACCATCATCGCCCCACCGGTGTGGGCAGCATCCTCACGTCACCATGTGCACTGTTACTTTCGGCTTCAGCCCCATCGACACCCACACCGTGACGACCAGCATTGTCAGCAGCATCACCAGCCATTGACATCATCACGACGCACAGCATCATCATCACCAAAAATCGTCACCGACGCCGCTCCCCCGTCTGCAATGATACGCATCAATCATTATTTTCGGCTTCAGCATCGTTACCCACACCGTCACGACCAGCATTTTCAGTAGCATCAGGAGCCATTGACACCAGCATGCCACGACAATCATCAATCGTCATCTCGACGCAGAGCATCATCATTACCAAAAATCACCAACACATGTATCAGGATCACCTCCTTCGACACCGGTGCCGTTCGCACGGACCGTGACCCACGGTCGTTTCTAGGCATTCCTCTCTGTGCCACTATGATTCAATATTCTCGCCACCCCCGTCGCATCATCAGAAGCCACTGCATCATCGCGCTCGTTTTGACGCCATGATGCGATCATCACAATCATCATCATCATCATCATCAGGACGCGCAACATCACCATCAACAATTACCAACGTCACATGCATCAGGATCACCTCCTCCGCCAGCAGTGCCGCTCGCCCGCGCGCCATCATGTGCATCGCAGCCCTGGGCGTCAGGCTCATTAAGCGGGTGTCGTGACCCACATCTCATTATCATCATCATTTTCATGCCATATGCAGCAGTCGCAATGTCAACCCCGCAACAACTTCGTCACCAGCGCCGTCATCATCACCTACACCACCAACATGCGGCATCATCATGCATCATCAGCACCAACATCGTAAGCGTTTTCAGCACCATGTGTAGTCCGTGAAAGCCATCACAGTCACAATCACGTCACCATGGCCGTATTCGTCATTGCCACATGATGTCGCCGTTTCCCTCCTAACTATCCTCGGCCAGTGCCACAACAATCGCCACGACCGACTGCCGAAAGCTTTGCCTGCCATCATCACCGCCACAATTGCCTGAAGAAGTATTTTCTGGATTGCCGTGGTCTGTTGTGTCCCACGAGCCTTTGGAGTGACAGTGCCGCGTGTGTGACATGCTGGTGGCGCTTTCTCGTCGCACTCACACCGCCGTCCACTGGATCGCGTATTCTCATGCATTGCCACCTTTCGCCGTCAACATCATCGCATTGGATTCGTTTTTTGAGGCACAACTGTTGAGGGCAAGCGCCTGCCCAACTTGCCCATCGCGATGGTGCTCCCACGCCAACTTCTTACCGAGGCGCTTCATAGCCGCAGTGGTCCCACCCCGCTCCCAAAACAAAAGCTTCTGCTTTTCTTCTTCTGAGCCTGTCGAGAAGACACGGAAGGGAAACAGGGCGCATGTTTCAGGGTCCATGCCGCTGCCTGGACGGTGAATGTTTGCATAGTCACTCCAGCTCGAGATGCACACTCCCCATCACGTCACTCACAGCGCCGGCCTAGACATCCTGCTTTCGATCGTTGGACGGGGAGGGGTGGGTGGGGCCCGAACCACCGACCTTCACATGAAAATTCATCGTACCGACAGTGTGCAGTTTGAATCAGTACGGACAATGGGTCGATGTACTGGTACAGTGTTTCTTACAAGTGGGCAGGGGAAAGGAAGTCCGACAGGCACTTAGCATCGGTCTTAGAACTTAGGGTGATGGAAGCGAAAAAATCTCCACCAACACGAGACATCGGAGACATGTTTCCGTGGCATAGGCATTGAAGTGTACGATGCGATGTTGATTGGGTTATGCACTGCTGCAGTCAGATTCCGGTAGCGAAAAGAAGCAAGGCTGCCAAGAGGACGGCGCAAATTCCGCCAAACAGCAGTCACGGGTGTTTGATCGAACTGTGTGCATCGCATGGTTGCCAGAGCTAGCGTTATCGGCGTGACGAGCTGTTGGTCCCTTACTGAATCAGCAATGCCGCGGTGGTGCCATGGATTCCTCCTCCTGGGTGCTTGCAGCATCCAAGCTACTGTCGGCAATGGAGTTTGCCAAGCCATGGAGTCCGCGGCGCTGATTCAAACGCGATCGACAAACAGCTGCTTCGTTGAAGTGTGGACGAGGTTTATTCATGAGTTTTTGATTCACCAGCTTGTAGCAGTTTCGTGTTTTGCACATCAGCTGCTTTTGTTTTCATCGTTGGGCTAGATGCACCGTAATTTGCGATTGGTGAGTTTGCACCAAGGCCGGACTGTGTCCAAGAGCACGAATGTGGGCAACCAGACAGTCAACAAGGATTCGCCCGTCTGTCGGAGTCACGTCACTGGTGACCTGAAACAGCTGCATGCTGCTATTGGTAGTACGATGGCACGGCAAGGAAGTTTGTGTCGAAGAAACTACCATTTGCGCAGGCGTCGCGGGCAAATGTGTCTGAAGATGAGCCACCGACTTCTTTCGAAACGGCTGTGTCACAGCCGCGTGCTGCAAGTTGTCAACCGGATATCGCTCGGTTGTAGTTTTTGTCTTGTTAGGCACGGGAAAAGCCCAGTCAAGGACCATTTTCGGCAACAGACAAACGGAACATGCAGTAATGGTGGCGGTCATGCTCTTGATTGGCATTGCAGCCTTCGAACTTGTCCACTTGGATTGCACCGGGGTGGACCTGACATCTCCGTTTCATTTGCTGCTTGGATGTGATCCGTCTAAGGATGTCTGAGGGCATTTGCATGTGTCACGCCTCTGTGCGCTTTGGCGACCTGACACTACGAGGTTCGACGACGTTCAAAGGCAGCAGTCGCAAGCCAAAGAAGGACAGCCCACAAGACAATACCAGATGTGACGTCTTCCACAAAACATTAGAGACTGCTGCCAGGACCTCTCAGAGGAGCCATGCGCCTGTGGAAGTTGTATCTAACCGAGCGGTGGAGGCTGCTTGCTGTCGAAGTGGAACCACAGGACACAGTAGCCGAACGTTTGTCATTCAGGGTTTGTTCTTGAGGACAATTTGCGCAGCTAGTGTATTTGTGCTTGTTTCTGTGCCAGTAGGTGTTGTCCTTCTGACGATTTGACCCCGATGCGCGAAGGCATTTGGCTTTTTTGGTTGTTGTAAAATCTTCGCGAGAATCCCGTTTTCCTTCCGCGGTGTGGCTGGGTACTTTTCCTTGATAGTTGGACATCGTGTTCATGCCACAGCTAGCCCTGCACATTGCAATTTCCCAGCAGCTGGCCCGACCACTTGCCGCAAAAAATAATCCTATTTAATTCCAAATAGCTTGCTGCAGTGGGAAGGAAGGCGAGCCCGAAAAGAAAGCAACACCTCAAAAACATGAGCGAACACAAGCCAATCAGTTTCGCTGTCGCTTATGTCCGTTAATTGCGCCACCAACCTCACCTCAAGGCAGAAGCTTAGCCTCTCATCCCGATTTGTCTCAGCGCAAACATGGCGACCGAGACGCTGAAAATCAGCGATGGCACCACCATGGAGATTTGCAGACTCCCAGATGTCGATGATGCAACATGGGCAGAAGTTCGGGCCTACGTCGAAAGCAACCCAGAGACCGCAAAGACTTTGAAGAGCTTTGCGAAGAACCCGGATGCCATGAGAGGTTGGCTGCAGACGCAGGCCATCGCAGAGCACTACAGCAACAAGATGGCCAGCGGCGACACGCCGGTCCAGGATAAGGTGAAGTTCCTTGAGAAGGACCCGGAATTGGCCTCCATCTTCGAAGACATCAAGAAGAATGGCATGGGAGCGGTGATGAAGTATTATCAGGACGAGGAGCTGATGCTAAAAATCAGCCAGAAGATGGGTGGCCTGCCTTCCGAGCTTCAGCCCGCTCTTCGGAAGATTGAAGAGACCTCGCTGACCCTCCACGAAGCGGCCAAGAAAGGAGATCTTGCAGCTGTCCAGCAGTTCCTAGACAAGAAGAAGCCCCTGGACGCTCAGGACTTCAAGGGGATCACTCCGCTAGGCTATGCCATCGGCGCCAACCGCATCGCTGTGGTGAAGAAGCTGTTGGACAGCAGGGCCAACCCATACGCCGCTCGGACCACGGTTTAAAACCCGAGCCTCAAAGCACGTGGCAAACCCTACATGAATTATTATACATGTGCTGCTTTAGTGTCACAGTGTGCTGGTTTATAGTTTCATGGAGTAGACGCCCATGCCAAATATGGAATACGTTAAAAAATCTAACATGATATCGTGTCCTTTGCTGTTTCGAGAATATATTGAGCATACATTCTTTATTCCGGCCTAAGATTGTTGTCTGGAGCCCAAAACCCGATGACAGCTTTTTGTCGCTTGGAGGCTGTGGACAGCTCTGGTAACAGTGGGCTGCACTATGCCGCGGGCTACGGCCGAAGGGAGCTTCTGGAGTATCTCCTGAAGGTTGGGTTTCGGCGACTGGTTTCGGAGTTAGGATTTAGGGCTGTTTAGGGTTTAGGGATGTTTAGGGGAGAAGTATCTCCGGCAGGTTATGTCTTTCGGGGTCCAGGGCTTCAACGCGAGGTCGCGGGCGAGGTTTGGGGCGTGCCAAGGCCTCTGCGTTTGTGAGAGATGAGGGTTTTCCGTGACGGTTTGGCCGTTCGACTGCTTGCTTGTTCGTTCAGGGGTCCGGGCAGGAGGGTTCGGTTTGTTTTCTGAACCGCCAGGTGATGGTTGATCTGAGTTGATCTAACCCCCCCCGTCACTTGACCGATTACTACAGATGCGACTTGTTCATGTGTCATTGTTGTAAAATGCTGAAGTGGTGTGCACATGGCAAGCGTGCAAGAGCGCGCGGGTTTCGATCAGCCCCCAGGTGGGCGCCAATGTCAGCCAGCCGAATGCACAGGGCATGACGCCGTTGGCAGTCGCCACGCAGAATCGACAGGAGGCGACCATTCAGATCTTGAAAGCACACGGTGCGCAGTGAGAGTTCTGCTGGAGACTTTCTTCATCCCTGTACAAACGTGTGCGGGAGTTTGCAGCCTCATCGGGCAATTTATTTTTGAAGCCTTGGGTTCAGTCAGTGGCTTGGTCTCAGCTGCTCCACAGAAAACAGTGAGTAAACAAAAAATAAATAAATATATATATATATGTATAACAGAATAAACAACACGTCCAACATAGTATCAATGCAGATTGAATACAGAACCTGTAGCACATTACAGCTCAGGACACTAGCATCATACCAGGGGCGTGTGGGCGGTCCATGAATCCATCTTATACCCCTTACCAGCTGTCTTTGGTAGGGTTGTCTTGTCTCATTAAGCACCGCGCCAAAGTGCCAAGCATGCGCAGTCTGGAAAAGCTTCAGAGACCTTGGGACAGCTGCGGCGTGCCCCTGCTACCTGCCATCCGCTCTGGAGTTGGAAGCCGAGGCTAAGTGCTGTTTGCATCGGGCTGATCAGCGCCATGATCCTGATGCACCAATATGCAAACCTGTTGCTGGTGGACTGGGCAGACAAGTTCTGGGGAAAATTGTCTGATTCTTGGCACGCATCAGCTTCCGTGCCCGACACTGCCACGGCCAGGTGTGCTAGCTTCGATTGCGCAAAGGGTTGAGAGACCCTTTGCCTCTGTCTGTCTCCAAATGGGGTAGTTCTCCAAATTAGGGTCCCTCTTTAGGTCCCCAACATAGTACGGCACCCTTATAAAAAGGACCCTAAAAGGGACCCTAATTTGGAAAACTACCCAAATCGCTGTATAATGTACATACATGCACACACGCCCACAGAGATAGCTAACAAGCAAGCTGGATAGATCGGTCGATCAATGGATGCTTAAATACTCAGATATTTAGAAAAGAACCGTCAGACGGTAAGATAGATGGCGATAGATAAACAGGTACTCCCGGTCAAGTTTTCGTCTGTGGGACGGCTTTGGCGAAGCTCAGGACTGGAACTCGGCCAAGGATGGCATGATGCAGCTCGCGCTCTCCCTTTAGATCGCTAAGCTGAAGAGGGCACAGCTGGGAGAGTTCAGGAATGTCAGAGACCGTTGAAGTTGCACATAACCCCCAAAAAGTAGGATCCGTTTGATAAGCATTCAGCAGCTGGAGAAGTTTCGCCGAATTTCTCAGCAACCTCCCACTGCCCTGTAAGAACCATGAGGCATTGGTACCAGCTCCAAGCGCTTTGCGCACAGTTCCTGATGTATGCTCTCATGGCACTCTTTGCGACGGCCTACCGCTACTACTTGACTTCCATGTTCGTGTTGTTGGTGCGCGAGAACGTCACAGACTCCTGTCTCAACAATCACCCTGCCCCAAAGCCAGCCCTACATCCCAAAAGCCTTAAGCCCTAAAGCACCCTAACTTAAGCCCCAAAGGCACAAAAAGCCTGAACCGAGTGACCTTCAGTCAACCCTAAGAGAAGGAGCTCAATCAGGAGTCCCGGAAGTTCAACCACTCGTGTAGGGGCCTGGGACATTCGGGGGACCCCAATACGAATACCCTCTACTGCTTATGAGTCACAAGTTTACCGTTCCCTAAGATCCGAGTCTTATCGTTGAGGCCTCCATATAGCACACATTCCAGAGAGAGTCCTGTGATCCTCACAACCCCAAGACCACTGCCAAATGAAGCTGCGGCGTTCTCAGAACCATCGTGAGCACTTTTGTTATAAATGCTGAGACCACTCCGAGGAGCGCTATACCTCGAATTGGCTGTCCGACTTCAGTTCCTACAGGCTCCGAACTTGAAGTCGGCTTGTACTTTCCAAGTTGCGCCTTCATTTTCGTGTCTGCTTCAGCCGAGAATGTTCCCGGCACTTATTTAATGCTTGCTTCGTGCCACCACGTGCCTAAGTTCCCGAAGGAAAATGGAGACATATGGAGACCTGATGGCTAAACCAGACCAGACTAAGCCAATTTCGCAAAGCTTGGCTCGGGGCCGAGTCTCTTTGTTCAGAAGCACTTCTGTGTTGGAGGAGATTGAGCCCTGAACCCTTACTGGCCCTACAAACCTAAATAGGCTGAAGTCGCAAGGGGTCGGAAGAAAACAAGCAAAGCAAAAATGGAGCGGACCCTGCCAGAAGCGTGGCAAGGCTGGAATTGACGAAGGGACAAGATGGTGCGGACGCTAGCAATCCAGACCAGCGAATCCAGGAGGATGTGCAGGCAAGGCTTCTGCAGATTCACTAAGGTCGCGCCGGTGGATGTTCCATCAGTCTGTTGCCGTCTATGTGGGTTTTGCCTTCGCATATGTACACAGATACTTGTAGATAGTTTAAGTTGTGTGCGTGTGTGTATTGTGTGTGTGTGTATGTCGTGGCCGCAGCAAAGGTTCGCTAAGGCACGGTGCGTTGGAAAGCACTGCCCCAGAGAGTTCGCCACAAGAACTGATGAAACAGTTGCAGAAATCAGGGCTGGGGGGGGGGGGGGGGG